CCCCCCCCAGCCCCATTTCACAGGTTTGTCAAGGAAGTCCACAGCGGAGATTAGATACACCCACCCCAGTGCATCTACCACACTGAGTACCATACAGTGGGGTGCCCCCAGAAAAATGGGGTTCATGCTCATGTTCTCTTAGGGGGAAATGTTTAAAACATACTGCGAAATCTCAGAACCCATGTAGCATGTGGCCGGTAGCGTGGTCCTGTGAATGTTCTTGAAACCTATGGACCTGCAGGTTGAGGTTAAACTCCCTATTCTCTGCTATCAAGTCTGTACCGACTCATGGAGACCTTATAGGGCAGGGTAGAACTGCCCCGAGGGGTTTCTGAGACTGGAAGGAACTCTTTGTGGAGGTAGAAAACCCGTCTCCCTCCACCCCCCTCACAGTAGCGGCTGGTTGTTTTGAACTGCTGACCTTGGGGTTCACAGCCCAACTCTTAACCACTATGCCCCCAGGGCTCCTTTAGACTCCCTAGTGGCGCCTCACTTTTGAATACACTTTGCCCTCTGGGCATATCAGTTTTACCGCTGCAACCATATCCCCCCTCTCCTCTCCCACCCCAACACTCCTCCCAAACTTTGCTCACATTTTCCCCTTGGCCAGGAAGGCCTTGACCTCCACCCCCTCCCTCCAAGTTAGCCTGTCTAATGCTTGCTTTTCCTCAAGGCCCAAGTCCATACCTACTTCCTACCCTTCTTAGCCCTGCCAACGTGGATGCTCTTCTCGCCTCTCGAAAGAAACAACCCTAAGCAAGCCTTCAGTACAGCACTCGGGCCTGGGGCGTCCATTTCCTCGGCCCATGGCTCCGGACGTCCATGTCCCCCTCACGGCACCATGTGTTTTTCCATGGCAACCTGCCACGGATGGTGAGGGGACTGCTCAGGAAGAAGCTGCCACAAGAGGTCCAGAAACCTTTATGAAACTCTGGGACCATTTCTGCAGCCCAGAGGGTCTCGGACACCCCCTGGTACCCTTTTTCAGCTCTGCCTCCGGACCAGTGGTTCTCAACCTTCCTCATGCTGCGATCCTTTCATACAGGTCCTCATGTTGGGGTGACCCCAACCGTCACATTATTTTCGTTGCTACTTCATCACTGTCATTTTGCTACTGTTACGAATTGGGCAGCCCCTGTGAAAGGGTCATTCAATCCCCAAAGGGATCGAGACCCACAGGTCGAGAATCCCTGCTCCAGACGGCCTGGAACCTGCCTTCAGGTTCTCTCTTGGCCGTGGAGCTGTTCCCTGCATTGTCATTGAATTTTGGAATTCCCGAGTATAAAGAGGGAAAACTAGGCAGCGTTGGCAGTTTCTAGGGAAGAGCAAAGCAATCCTGCCTGAGGGAGAATCCTCAGGCCCTGGCCCTGTCCTCAATCCACTCACACACTCTCCTAACTGGACGTCCAGCTGCATTCTGGTCGCCAGGGCAGCCAGCGGGGCTGGATGCCAGCGTCTTCAGTAGGCTGTCCCACTGCCTGGTGGAGGGCTTAGGCCCCACCAACCTGGCTGGCCCAGAATAGCAGATCAGAACTCTTCAAGTCTTTGTCCTCGAGAGCATTCGGGTTGATTGGTTATCTACCCACTTCAAGTTA